AGGACAGAAGAACGCTTCTCACCCTTCGTGGATTGGGGGGTTGAAGCGGATTTTGGTATGTCGGCAAGTTTTCTACAGAAATCTGCATATTCCCAACGCGGTTATCATGACTTATTTTGACTTATTTTCAAAGAGCATGGACCGAGTTGGAGATGCATCAGCTGATCAGCTAAAAGTAGCACCTAGTTTGAGCAGATCGGGATTCATTATACGACCAAAGAATCAGTCTCACCAAGCCGTCGAAGAGCAAGCAGCATTAATCTCCATTCAGTACAATTTAGGGAGCATGCCATGCGCAAACAACAGGTTTAATGCTACTTATTCCTCACCGGCAAATCGCCTGGGAATTACTGTGACACCAGTAACAATAGCCAATAAAATTGTGCAGCCTAAAGAATGGATAACAGCGCCAAACTAGCAGAGTTGTGGTAAAGGAATGAGGACTTTGATTTGGAGAACGCGAAATATGTTTCCATAGTAAGAGAAAAGCATGATGATTAGGCTAAAGAGCTTTTCTGAAAAATGTGGATTCGTTTCATTTCATACCGTCGTCAACGGAGTCTCCTTTTGAACGTGAATATCAGTTCGGTCGCCTTTGATGCCAGTACAAAGTTTGTCTGGACTCATTAAACGGTTGTAATTGTAAAAGGCACACATTCCGGACAAACATCCTTGGACGATGTTTCACCTGAGAAACAAAAAGTACGACGAGCTCAGTAGAAAAAGTGGGAATTGCGAAATTTTGTTGGACGTGAATGCTTCGTCGGAGGACCCGAAGCAGATGACATGCGTTCTCAAGGTTTAATGGGCTTCCAGAATGACTGAGAGCTGTACAGTCATACCTTTGCGGTTCGCTTCCTTAGGCGACTACAACTGGCGCAGAAGGGGATCGCCTTGTGGTCGCCACTAAACGTGAATCCCGCTCGGCTAGGGTTAGAGTTGGTCGAACAAAATGTGTGAAAGCTGTTGAGAAACACACCGCACAGTTCACATTTGTGTTCCTGCTGCCGTATCCCTCCTTTCAATCACCGCGCGATAACTCCATCACTTGGGTAGGGGGAAATATTTGTGACGGGTTTCAGCAACTCAAAAAATAATTCACAGCTGTTTAGTCGCAAGCGCTAGCCTGGTTACAGTGTCCTGAGAGAAGGTAGTCACTCGCACAACAATAACTTCGATTTAGCGCCAGAGGGACGGGGGAATTGCATCATCAAGGAAGAAGACTGGATGTGACAACTCAAAAAAAAAGCTGAAGCTCTGCGCGTCGCAATGCTTACAAGGTCTGCGCTCATTTTCACGGCGTGCATTCGAGAAGATACTGTCGAAAGTTCAACGCTTTTCGGACCCTGCTGTCTATGCATCCACAGGGATTACTGCCGGTGCGAACCAAAATAGCAACTTGACACACCAATGATGTATACGGAATTACAGCGCGAAATCTGTTTGAGGTGCGGACATTCAAGATGTATTACGGGGAAATCTTTTGCGCAAGGCGATTAGCCACAGGGATCGAGCCAAACGGGCGTTCCATCACGTCGCAAGGGAACGGGATAGTTTTTAAAATATCGTGAAAAGCTAACCGTTTGGATTTAGTTACATTTTTAAACAAGACGGAACGTGTGCTGAAATTCCCCGTGAGGATTTTCTAGTAAAATTAAGGACAAGCAACCGAGTGCCTGTCGATCAACTGAGTGGTAAAACGAAGAAGAGAATTCCGCCAGTACGAAAGGGACATCACTGTTCATTGGGCTGCGCGTTGCTATGGTGACAGGGGATTTATGGCCTATCACAAATGTCGCCTTAATGATGGAAACACGCGGCGGAAATCAGACGCACGGTCGGTCCGAATGCAAGAAAGATCTTAAATATTTATCCCCTAAGGCTGGGCTGTTTGTTCCAAACTCTGCTAGAAATCTTAATACAAACTGAGCTGACATTCCCGCAAATAGGACTTTTTGGTTTATCGCCCCTAAACATTGTGCGTAAGGGGGGATCAGCCTTTCCAGATGTCACAGGCCATGACTCTGCTAGAGGAACGACGGACCTACGCAAACCTACAATTGAGCTTCACAGCAACTGTAACCAACTTGTGTAACCTTGTGTGAGAAAACAACTTTGTCCCACAAAATTTATTGGAATCCGATAACAATGACAGTCCAGACAGCAACTGGCTTTTTTTTCAGGTGAGATCCTCTATCCTCTGCGTATTCGATGGTGGAATGAAAGGAGACGCGACGAAAGAGTGCTGTTCAAACTGGGCTCGAGATCACCCGGTCAGTTCACCGGGTCCCCTGCCTTCAGACACCCGTGCCTAATTAAGGCCGTTTCCGCAAACCATATATCGACGTGTGAATACTGCTACTAGCCACAACTAGTTGAATCTGCAAGTGAAATCGGAGTGCGTTGTGGGAACAACAAACCGGGTGGGGTGTCCCACAAAGAATGACAGATAAGTCTGTCAGGAATTCTATTGGATAAGCGAAGACAAATTACTGCTAGCACCTCCCTTCCCCGCTGCATTAATAACTCTCTCCCTGTAAGCCCAGCACTCAGTATACCCACTCCAGTATATCCTTGAATAAGACTGCTATCAACGGGTCGCAGCACTGTAAGTTGATGCATATGAAGAAACGCTGTAATTTCGGACCGACCCCTCAGGAGTCGCGACTAACTGTCATACAGTGCCACCGGACATTGTCGTCAGCTGTTTCCGTGCAGGTGAATTCGCTGATAAAACGTGCCAAACAGCATCAGCATATTTCACAAAAACAAAATAGTCGATCGAAGGAGGTTGATGCCAGTCAGTCGGTCAAAATGATCGATCGGACATCAATCACAATGCAAATGAGTGAATTCTTCGAACATGCACAAGTTCAAGTCACGTGAAGCTTGATGCACCTAGAGAGAATTGGATTGGGAAGTAAGACTGATTAGAATTCAGAGGCTTTGATTAAACCAAACAGAGGAAAAAGTGCTGGTGAATTCTAAACAATTTCTCCATGTTAATTACGAAACCCTTCAATTGTTCCCCAGGGTGTAAGGACTGTAACTCCCAGCATGAAGGACAAATTTCCGATGGCCATATCATGCCAATTCATCCTCTAACGAAATGAGTGTTGTTCTCAAGACCTATATCAGAATGGATTGGAACATGACTTCACAAATATGATTATGGAAAGTTTTGTTGCCATTGGTACCAGCCTTTCTCCTGGACACAGACCATCTGAGTGAATGTTGTAACCCTTTTAGTGTCCGATTTTAATCTCCTTCATCTTGGGATACTTTTGAGGAGAAGGTTTCGATGGTGGTCGGACAGTCTCAACGAGACCGTTCATAATGATGAAGGTCTAGATCATTGCTCACTTCAGTCCTGGGCCAGCAGGGTCGGACGCTTTTAGGATTCTTCATCGGTGTTATGCAACATCCTACCGCAATTCATGCAGATCGGTAAAAGCTAGATAATAGCTGTTTGACTGAGTTGCACAAAACCACCAGGTGGTAGGTGGGGGATCACGTTTCCATCCTGGTTGCTTAGGTGCTTTGAAAATCTAAGCCCCGTGGTTAGGATGCAGTTCGCTTCTCATGAATTTAGTATTTCTTTCCAGATCGTGGGGTTGGGACAGCATTCCGTTGACTCGTTTCGGCACCCTCATCATCTCCCGCTTCATCCGTTTTCTGCCTCACTGAAACAGCAATGTCACTAATGGGTTCATCCTAATTTTCTTTACGCCATCGCCTCTGCTCTGAGTGTGGGGGGTTATGCCTACACATATCCCTACTCCTCTGTTTTTTATTGCCCTTCCCATGGTCGTTTTCAGTAGTTTTGGTTCAAAACTGCCTTCCTAAAATTAACATCATATCGCATCATCCGAATGAAACACACGATGAGTTATGTATTGTTGGGAATATCACTCGAATTTCTCGAGTATACTACTTATAAGATTGCTGAAAACTTTTCGACAGCCCATGACCGGTTTTGCAGTTCCGTCAAGATAATGCATTACAATTTGTCAAATACCGGACCAACCAAAATATGGAACGCCTTTTGTGCAGCACATTCAGCTGGTATACGGTCGAGTCTCGAGTCGCCACCTGCTTAATTTGCAAATAAATGCAGTTCACCAACAAGTATTCAGCTGCCCAGTGAAAAGGCCATTTCTCCGGGTCCTCGCAGCAGCAAGTAAGTTATTTTGATCCTAAGGGGCGATACCGGTTCGGAAAACCGGTACGTACGTTTAAAGCATCCCAAATACCCACTCTGCATTGGGCAGATTAAACTTGTAGAGTAAAGAAAACTTTCTGTGCAGCCTCTTCTCAAGTCCCCAGGTAACATGCAATAAACCGAGAGAAACGAGCGTAAGGCGGAACACCGATTATATAGTATGACTGCACCGGATGAAGCGACAGAAGCCACCCAGTATATCAGGCACGAAAGTGTTACAAGAGGCACGTAATAAGTATCATGTGATCAGCTGAACAGGCCCTCACTTGTGATTGTGGAGTGCGCTTAGGTCAAGGAAGCGAACAAAATGCTTTTGATCTGGTGGTAAACGTGAATCGCGACTTTTTGGCTACACCCAGAAGCCAGCGTCTGAAACCGGCTTGGTGGCGCGCGAAAAATAGGTCGGTGTTCAGGCTGAAATTTTATATTGTAATGTCCATTAATCAAACCGGTGGATGTTTTCGTCCATTTTTGATTAGTGTCTTGTAGGTTGGCGACAGCAACACATGAACTAATACGGATACACACCACAGGAACCAGTAGAGGTAACATATCTTTGGGACACTGAACAGTTACCGATCGGTGGATTTACCGACTTTAGTCGCGCTGGAAGCGGTATTTATGGCTTCAGAAAATTTAACAGTAAAAATTTCACTTGAACCATTACTGATGGATGGGAGACCGATAGATCATTCCCTTTTGGGTACTGTCACATGCTTTTCTCCGAAATCTCATCAGAATGATCGTTGCTGGATGAAATGTTATTAGCTGATGGTAGTACTTACTTAAGAAAATCCGTTGTGTTCTCAAAGACATTTCGAAAAGTTCCGCTTCCCTCATGGTGGGACAGCACTGAAAGAATTTAGTGGCTAAACTGACCAAACAGACTTGCGGTAAGTTCACTTGATCATCATTATCAACGTAAGTGAAAAACCTACAGTTCAGTCCAGTTCATCAGCTCTAAACTACGTGCCAAGGGGATGTTAATTATACCTGCCACAGTTTCGGGCACCGAAAAATGGGAGAACAGGGTAGGTGGCTCAGTGGTTAAGGCGCGAACTTATTGGACGTAAGGTCCGTGGTTCGAACCCGACCTCAGCATCTCGACTGCCCGTCTAGACTTCGGCAACCTGACAGTATCTCAGCTGTCGTGCCTCCTTCGAGTGGTGACAATGGAGCTAGGTACCGAAAGGATGTTATTGCTCAACGGAAAGGTATAACCAGGGCTGAGTGTCGATTACGTGACGTAATTTGTTTCCCTATTCATTACCTTTCCGGTGACTGCTCAGGTTTCAAGACTGAACTATTCTATTTTATACAAAGTCGACTCTATATCAACCATTTTTCTATAGTTCGATTCGTTCACACTCATTTCTGGGCTTGTTGTTGGAAATATGTCCCACTTTGAACTGAACATTTTTCCCGTTTAATTTGTCCGATAGCACACTGCCCCTTGTGTGCCATCCTGTGTTGCTAATTGCACAAGGTTCAACCTAGCCGTAAGTCTTTCTTTAATTCTCGTCACGGTTTACTGTTAATTTCATATAAAACCATGGTCTATCTATCTATACTGCCTACCCACG